CACTTGATAAGTTAAAATTTATTTGTGCGAACCACGTACACCACCTGTACTCGGTGGAACAAGCTGAGGAAAAAATGCGCCGAAACAGAAACTCAGTAGCAACTGAAACGCCCGATTTCCAATAGGAAAAAGAAAGCAACGTCAACATAAATGTTCTGACAATGATCAAATGCTTTCGATGAGACCGAATATCCTGGAAGTTTCCTGATCATAGAAAAAAAATACTTAAGAATGAGTGGACTTGTGTCACTGAATGAGTACAAATAACCCTTTAATCGTTGATGTACGAGCAGGAGCCGTATTCTGAAAGTTTCGTATTTCATGACTACGCACAATACGATGAAAATTTTCAGAATTGAGCTTATCATCAAATCATGAAGCCCCGCATAGCTAGCGGGAAATACTTGACACTGGGAAAAAAGAAAAGTATTTCAAGTAGTAAGCTAGAAAATAGTATTACAGAACCTATTCGATTTCAGAGATGGAACAATTTCGAGACCGATTGGCATTTGCAGGGAAGAAATTGATGAGGTAGTTGAGGGTAATACTTTGATTAATATAAAAGCACCAAAAGGTAGATTTGATAGTTAAACAAATTTTCTAACATCTGGGAGCTGCAGAAAGTTCCGCCTCTTGGCAGAAATCATCAACTAAGTTCATGCACTGGGTATTCCACTGGAATCACAAGTACTTAAAAAATGATCCGGTAACTCCCGGAAATAGAACATACTCATAGGAATATTATCATTGATGATAGATTTCAAGTGCTACACTTAATGATGAAAATGTGTTTCAGCAAAGTCACATGTGATGAAACCAGTGATCGCAAAAGAAACCAATGCGCGCCCCTTGAGCGGCTGCGCTACAATTTCTCGCCACTGTTGCGTTCTGGAATTTATTTACCCAAATCGCTAAACATGCACACTTTAACCATATACACAAAGGAATTCATGTTAAAAATTAAGGATGTTATTGTGAAAAACCATATTGCCATGTTTAGAGTTCCAGTTGCTAGTCAAGCGCACAAATACTGCAAACGCGGAAAACGCATCCGTGCCGGTTGGTAAACTGCCTTGGTTGTACTACTCCCAATAAGATGACCGTACCTACCATTGTGAGTAACAATCTCCGTGCTGTGCTTGTGAAGCTTCCGGACTTAAGCCACCTGCTCCAGCGAAAGGAATTTCGCATCTCTTGTGTCTTGTGTCTTCAGGAGTCATGGCTCAATAAGGATGTGGATGATTCCGTGGTCCAACTGGATAATTTCGTCTGCTTCAGACAGGACAGACAACGGTGCAGGAAGAAGTTGGAAGGCGGTGTGATAACTTATATCAATTCCATTTGGTGCTGCAAGTCCGAAGTACCTTTTAAGTACTCACAGAACGGCATTGATTGCTTGAATGTCGTCTGTCACCCCAAATTCTCCCGCTTTCCTTATATCGCCATCACTAATTTATACATTGTACCCCAGTGTAGATTGTCAGACATTGACACATTTTATGATAATTTCCCCCCGGTTATTGCCCCATCTCTTGCTGACAGCTTGCACTTAATAGCCGGTGACTTTAACCACGACCCATGCACCCTTTATTGTCTAAATCTTAGTGACCTGATTATTGAACCAACTAGAGGACACTCTCATCTAGACCACATAAACCGCAAACCACACTGACACCTTTTCCATCAAACAGTTCTCCCCCTTAGGCACTAGTGACCACAACATGATCCTGGTCAGACCTAAGATTTACTTTAACTCAGGATACTTTTATTTTACTCGACCCAAACACATGTTCTGTCAGTGAGATCTTTCCCCAGACAATATTGCCTTGCTTAGATCGTCTCTTAAGGTAGTTACCGACTACTTTCCTTTAAACACAACCTGCTTGTCAAATATGACATCTCTAACAGAAGTGTTAAACTGCGTTTTTGACATATGCTGTCCTGTGATAACTTTGTTCCTTCAGCATGGCAGAACACCTTTTCTTAAACGTCTTCGCCGTGGAAAGGAACGTGCATTTAAATGTGGCAGGAGGGTCGAGATGCAACGATTGTCGTTTCTGATCAAGAGTGAAATAAGACGGTTGGATGCTCTTTATGCAAGTCAGTTTTTTGGGACAAGGAACTGTAAATATATATAGCGTGGAACCAATCTACTCTGCAGGCAGAAGAAAGTGATTTCCAGTCCCTCTATTGATATTGAAAAACTGAATGCTGCATTTGTTCACTCTTCGTCCGACACATACCCCAGTTATGTTGATTCCAGTTCTCTAAACATCCAACCTTCGTTTGATCCCATCACCTCTAGTGAGATGTATAAACACGGGTTCTCTCAAGGTGTCGACTGCACCTGGTCCAGACAACTTAAGTCCGACCGTTTTTAAACACGGTGCTTTGTCACTGTCTCAGATTTTTGCTCGCATAGCTAGTCTTTCACTCGGACTTCGAACTACTCCGGACTGCTGGCACCCAGTGAGAATTACTCCCATCCCCAAAGGAACGTCAAGGGCCCCGATAGTGAAGCGTTTCATACCAATTGCTCTCCCTTCCACTGGTGTGAAATTCATGGAGCGATCAGTTCTGCGTCGCTTTCAGTTATCCTTTCCCAACCCCGATGATACTTATCACTTTGCATACAAACATAACCGCTTTACATTAGATGCCATTTCTTCTCTAGTTTATTTCATCTGTAAGTCCCTTAACGAGAAAGCCAAATATGTGCATTGTGCATTTCTGGACTATTCTTCTGCTTTCGACTCTGTGCCGCATTCTCTTTTACTAAACAAGCTCCAATCTTTGGCTGTCCCGCTTCTCTTCTTGAATGGCTTGCTGATTACTTTTCGCAAAGATATCATTGTTAAATTAGGAAGAAGTTAACCGCATCACTCAGTAGATCAGGTGTACTTCAAATAGCTGTCCTATCAACCTATCTTTCTTCGACTTATATCAGTGACTTACTCCCCCTGTTCGACATTTTAAGTATGCTGATGATATCGCCATTTCTGTTTCCGTATCTAACCAATCAGAAATGGCTGAATATAGTACAAACCTATCCCACCTCGTTTCATATTCCACTTCTTCGGATCTTAATCTTAATCCTGAGAAATGCCTTGAATGTATTTTTACTCTAAACCCCCGATTCCCTCCGACAATGTCCAGATTCATGGAAAGCCGATGAGCAGGGTCAGCCATGTGAAGTACTTAGGTGTCACACTTGAAAGTAACCTTCGCTGGTCTTTACATACCCAAGGTGTTGCTCTCAAGTCTCTCTTTTCAGATAAGAAAACTGCGTCATATCTGTTCTGACTCGTCGGTGATAAAGGCTTTCGTTGAACAATGTGTCTTCCCTATACCCCTGTACTGCTCTCCTGCAATTTTCCCTGGTTTGTTGCTGAGGCGTGGCCTCTCAATGGTCAGCCGTGTCTCCCAAGTTCCGTTATCTGTTCTGATTGGCAATATGTGTATTTCCCATATTGATGCGTACTTGAAGTTTGCTGATAATATTCTGATTGCACCCATCCTCTACACATTGACTTGTGGGCATGCAAATCCCACCCCTCCACCCGTTCCAACTACAAACTTATCCCTTCTCGCACATCCGCGTACAGAAACTCCTTGGTACCCTATCTGGCACGGATACTGACCGACAAGGAAAGTGCTCGTTTTGAGCTTTCTGATGCATTTAGTAATCAACTCATGTTTGTGTACGTTTCACATCCAACTTTTTCCCCTGTTTTTGCCAGAGTGTTTTGGCTGAAAGCTTGTATATAACTCGTTAAAGCTTGAATACAATACAATACAATACAATACAAAAGAAAACCTCAAACTAGGCAGATTACATGATTTCGAGCTCGCATATTTCTAAATCTCTTAAAATAGGTAATTAGTTAACCCGGCGGTAATATATGGGGCTGAGACAGATAAGTTATCTGACCTCATCAATTCTATGGCCATCCATTGATTTATGTAATCACGTTGGGTAAGTTATGTAATATTAATGATCGAGAAATGGTCTCAAATCATGAGCACAAACCAAGCTGATTGATCGCTTTACTGAAAGTTTTAGGGGTGTTGGACCTAATATGGATGGGAATGAGTTAAAAATAACAAAACCAGTGCCATTAGCTAAGATCACTGGAAACAAAAGACCCAGAAGTAACTGGCAATTCCACAATTCCATTCTGTCCTCAGAAGAGATATGTAGTCACCTGAGCTTCGATGGTTCCACTTTTCTATCACACACTAAAGCAGATACGAGACGCAGCATTTTCCTGGGACACAGAGGTGCCAATTTTTACTCAACCTTTCCCAGTTCGAACGATACCAAAGAAATACCACCAAACATCATGCAGTCATGTTAAATTAAAAGTATTCGAAAAAGGAGATACAGCATTTCTTCAGCAAACACTTCTACTGTACCTAATTTCTATTTTCATCTAACTTTACTCCGTTTAAAATGTACAACTTAGTCGTGAATTCCCAATCTTGATCAAGAAACAGCTTGTGCATGTCGAAAATCAAAGTCCCAAATGATTCCGGTATTTAGCCGCTGTTTGACTGCATCCAAAGTAAACACCTTCTACTGGTTGATTTTACTTGTGTACATGAATGGTTGTTAGCATGACCATCGTAAATCTCACTCAGATGGTAAGTATTGGGACGCACAAAAGAGAACTTTGCAAGTCAATCAAATAACATAAACGAAGTGGTACTTGTGAAACCAAAGAAAGAAAGACGTTTACGGAATTCCGTTCTTGTTTCCCCAGCTGTATGCAGAAGATGAATTTGTTGGCAGGTGAGTTTAGAGTGGAAAAGCATAAGTAATGCTAATGACTGTGAAGTCTGATTACCATGCCATTTGATACCCAGTAATCAGTTTGCATGCATGCATCCGGCACTTGTGATCACGGGTAGAACGCGCAAAATGCAATCTGGAGACGCGCTGTTCTCCGATTCTAGATCAAGTGTATCAATTCCCACAATAGCTAAATTGTAAGCTTGATCTAATGCCGCAAGGTTTGTAGTGCAATCCGTCGATGACAGGGATTACAATAGTAATTTTTTCCTCGAAAATTCCATGCACCCCGTTGTAAGAGTGTTGAACAATTGGCGCATCGGAAACAAGCCACATGGAACAACTTGCCATCGGCTTCTAGACGTTCCGCCGGATAAGCAGGTTTGGAACAGGCGGTACAAGATAATCCACTAATCACACGACCGGCTGAAGCGGATTCGAAAAGACTAACTGCAAACTGTGGACTTGGTAAGGCATCGTCTGTTTTCGTTTTGCACTTTTGTCCGCTGACAATAGTGGACTGTTCATAATCTGGTCGTGAGGTGATAGTATGAGAAGATCTGCGTGAAGCACTTACTAATGGGGGCAGTTCTGCAATAGGGACCGGGTCTAATCCCGATGCACGAAGGTCACTTTCCGCCAGATGTCGCGGCCCTTCCGGTTCACAGGACAGATGTCGAGCACTAATGTCACTGGACTTAGTTTGTTCTTCATAGGCAGCCAAAGGAACAGAATGACTGTCTTGTTCCGTGTCGATATATGGCAACGATTCTTCATCTTGTTGATGGTTCTGTGCAGTTTTGTCACATTTATCAAGCACAGCGGTCAGTCTATTGTCTGTATCACTGACAGATAAGAAGTCTTCGGACACGGGTGTGGAGTGTTTGTTGCTAAACGGATGTCCATCAACTTGACCCGCTACATCAGTTTTAGACTGATTGGATGAAATCGGTTCGTACGGGTTCGATGAACCCGGAATTTTACAAGGAATAGCTTCAAGGAGATCTTCATCCGGTTCTTCGGGAATATCCTCATTTTCATCCTCCTCTGGGATATCATCCTCGTCTTTTGTACTTTCTTCACTTTCACTACTAGCATCACTAATTTCATTCGTAATTTGTGTATCACCCTCGGTTCGCCAGGCTTGAGACGCTTCCGGTAAGTCATTTTTCGTGGATTCTCGATGGGTATTGATCCAACTGGTTGTCTGGCTATCATTGCCGGTGATGCTTATTGACTTACTGGTCGAATCCAAAATGTCCTGCAATTGTTCGTCTGGGTACTTAGCGAATGGCAATTGTTTAGCTGCCTCTGTACGAAATCTCTTCTCTTTCATTGTTCGTGTGGGCAAAGTCGGAAATATCCGACGAAAACTGTCATAATGGAGTCGAGCACATGGTAGTTCTCTTAACAAGCCCAAGGTAGAACCAAAAACAGATGGTGAAGGAAAACGACTCTGCATCGACCAATTGACCGAACTGCGGCGATTCCGTCGAGCACGACGCTTCCGTCTCGCCTGGTCCCCGGAAAAACTGTAAGTGACCAAAGGTTCATAAGTAGGTAATCTCGGGGCTAGAGATAGATTACGACTAACATGATCTACTTGGTACCAACCGGCAGGTTGTGCTTTGATTATAACTTGTTTGTCTCGTCGATTAGGTCGCGGACCGCTAGTTGAACAGAATCGTCTCCTTTGTGATACTGAGCGGTCCTTTGGACGACCCGATTTAGAATGGTATCTATCGTGATTCGTGAACGATTTATTTGGTTTTATGTAAGAGCACAACACACTCTCCTGTCCAGATAGACCGGGTTCATATGGAAGTCCGCTAGGATGGACGATGGAAAAACTGTCGGCTAAAACCCGATCCCCGTTCATTTTTCAAGAAATGAAAAGGAAAGCCCCGAATAAACTCCTCAATCTAGTTCATACAAAATGAAGGCCGTTTGAATAAGCAGTGATCGATGGAGGTACCAAAGTCACGTGTTACGTAACGTGTTTGCGCTTCTTATCAGGTGTATTTCTTCCTTGTTGCACAAATTAATAATTAAATAAACTTACAAAAAGCAAATTCCAAAAATTAACCAACTATTCCATTCGTTCAATGACTGACGAAGCAGTTTCATAGTGTGCTTTCGATGAAAGTTGCGCATATGGCAAAATAACTAACGGTTTGCACAAATGAACACTTCTTAATGAAACTCATTAGCCTGACTAGAAATGCCTTAACCTGATAATTGTGGACATGCGTGTTTCAGTCCTCTTTACTTTGTTTTTATTCGCAGTTTGCTCGAAATTCGCTTCTCGAGGATGATATGAGGGCAAACAGAATACGGGAAGAATATTCCAACCCGGTCAAAAATCAGCGGCGGGTACTTGCACTCGTATGTACTCATCTGCGTCACTCTGTCTCCAGATCAGTGGCTGGCAATAAATCCGAGCCGCCATACACTCGCTCGATTATGTATCACAACTTTAGTTTCTTATTCAGGCAGGCAGTTAGCTAGCAGAAAACAACTTGTTAATTATTTAGAACAAAAGCTTGCTTGAATTAATTCACCCGATTACTTTTGCCCGTTAATCCAAATCCATTTCTGACGGTTGCATTTGCACACACTCTTACTGTTGGAGAATGTCCGGTTGACGCCGAAAATTTTTCGCTTGTTGTTGGGACAGAAACTACATATCTTATATATCTTAGGTCAAGCAGCCGAAAGCCTCAGCATGGTCGGGGACGGGTGTTTCGGGTTGTGCCTGGTCATCTTTCCCTCGCACCTCACGAAATGCTCTTATACGACCAAGCGTCTCAAGTAGCTTCTGCTGAAAAAGCCCTGTTAACTGCCTTCCCATTGGCAGTGTTTTACCACCAAAGTGGGGACGAAAAGCCTACATCCGTGGCTACAACTGGTTTGTTAAACCACTCGCAGTTCA